ATCATCCGCGTGACTGTCACTTTCATCATGGTGTAACAACATTTTCTAAAAGGTTATTCGAATGTATAATTTCTCTTGTACAATGAAAAAAAATTAATGTCCGAAACGCATTACCATAACTAGAGAGAGACATACATGTATGAAACATGAAACTATCCCTTATCATTAGAACAGGATTTTGTTTGTTTGTTGTTTAACGCCGCACTCTGGAATCAGCAACATTCCAGCCATATGACCGCGGTATGTAAATAATCGAGTCTGGACCAGACAATCCAGTGATTGATATCATGAACATCGATCCACGCAATTGGTTGGTTGGTTGTTTAACGCCGCTCTAAGCAATATTCTAGCTATATTACGGCGGTCTATAAATAAGCGAGTCTGGAACAGACAGTCCAGTGATTGACATCATGAGCATCGATCCACGCAATTAGTATACAATGACTTTCATCAAACAAGTCAGCATTTTTTTTACGGCAAGCATGGGTTGCTGAAGACCTTTTCTTACACACACACACACACACACACACACACACACACACACACACACACACACACACACACACCGCCGTCATGCAGCTGGAATATTACTGAGTGCGGCGTTAAACAACATACCAACTTTTCTACTCCGGATCTTCCCGGGTCTATGTAACAGTGAACATCCCACACATTCAGATAAAACCGTATCTACCTTGAAGGAAAAAACTACAAATGTTGGGTATCACAGTGATTGTACCTTTGAAACTCCAAGGGGTGAGGTGAAATGGGGTTTAACGTGGGGTTCAAGATTATTGCACTAAAAGAGCGACGTGCATGCACGTGTGTGTGTGTGTGTGTGTGTGTGTGTGTGTGTGTGTGTGTGAGCTTTTACATGTTTTGATTTGGTTTGGTTTGGTTTGTTGTTTTACGCCGCACTCAGCAATATTCCAGCTAAATGACGGCGGTCTGTAAATAATCGAGTCTGGACCAGACAATCCAGTCATTAATATCATGAGCATCGATCCACGCAATTGGGATCGATGACATGCATCAACCAAGTCAGCGAGCCTGACCCCCCGATCCCGTTAGTTGCCACTTACGACAAGCATAGTCGCCTTTTACGGCAAGCATGAGTTGCTGAAGACCTACTCCACCCCGGATCTTCACGGGTGCATCGTGATTAGCAGGCGTTGTAGGTCTCAACATCTAAAGCAATGTGAGTGAGTGAGTGAGTGAGTGAGTGAGTGAGTGAGTGAGTGAGTGAGTGAGTGAGTGAGTGAGTGAGTGAGTGAGTGAGTGAGTGAGTGAGTGAGTGAGTGAGTGAGTGAGTGAGTGAGTGAGTGAGTGAGTGAGTGAGTGAGTGAGTGAGTGAGTGAGTGAGTGAGTGAGTGAGTGAGTGAGTGAGTGAGTGAGTGAGTGAGTGAGTGAGTGAGTGAGTGAGTGAGTGAGTGAGTGAGTGAGTGAGTGAGTGAGTGAGTGAGTGAGTGAGTGAGTGAGTGAGTGAGTGAGTGAGTGAGTGAGTGAGGTATTACGCCACTATCAGCAATATTCCAGTAGGGACATAAAGAAACGCGAACACCCCACTGTGCGAAATGATGCCAGATCACACAACACTCCTGCTGTAAGAAAAGTATTACAAGGACCAGATAGACAGCATGTTTATTACGATTTCTTTATTCACAATGTGTTAATAAAAATGAAGCGGCTACATTGACTTGTAAAAAGCCGTGCTTACGTTTTTTCCATGTCTATATGTAGAAACATAAACTGTCAACGCAAGAGAATAACCAGTCTATATTATCAGCCGAAACAGATTCCATTTGGAAAAAAATAGCTGTTAAAATTATATAAAATGGACAACTTGCAATCAGCGATGACACCCGGTAATAGACACAAACCGATGTTTATCAAATAGATTTTATATTCGAAAGTAGCTGTGCTAATCAACAAATGTGCTTAATACAATAACCATTGTAATGTGAATACTTTATTAAGTATAGGAACCATTGTTAGGAGAGTCGTTTAAATTCATATTTCGTATCTTACTTGTTTCATATGTGATATTGAATGTGATATATAACTACCGATGTATTGAATGCAAAAGCTGTTTGTCGTGTGTTGGTAATACGACATCACGAGGCGTGGACCAATATACAATCTAATTAATATTATTTGCAAGTGTACAATAATAATTATAACGAAGTAACATAATTATAGGTTATGCCAAATGAGTGAAATGTTCCTAGTTAATTAACGATCAATCGACTCAACTTGTCGACTCAACTTGTTGCCTAACGCCACACTCAGCAATATTCCAGACGGAGGTTTGTAAATAATTGAGTCTGGACCAGACAATCCAGTGATTGACACCATTAGCTACGATCCAGGTAATTGGGATACGATGACATGCATTAACAACGTCAGCGAACCTGACCAATCCCTTTGGTCGCCTCTTACGACAAGCATAGTACCACTTACGGCAAGCATAGTACCTCTTACGACAAGCATAGTACCACTTACGGCAAGCATAGTACCATTTACGACAAGCATAGTACCACTTACGGCAAACATTGGTTGCTGAATACCTTTTCTCTACCTCGGATATTCAATCGATTCCGTTGATATAAATGCAAATAATTACACCGACATTCAATTGCAATATTACGTAATTGTCAATATTACGCAATTGTCAGGGACGGTTGGATAGCCTAGTGGTTAAAGCGTTCACACGTCACGCCGAAGACGCGGGTTCGATTCCCGACATGGGTACAATTTTCGGAAGCCCATTTCTGGTGTCCCCCACCGTGATATGGCTGGAATATTGCTAAATGCGGCGTAACACCATACTCACTCACGCAATTGTTAGCACCGATAATGGTTGGTAGATTGCGGTTTGCAGAAAACCGTGAAATGTGTTAAACTCACAGCGATTGTCGCTTACCCTCATCGTAAGAAACAGTTCACTGCTCGATTCCTATTATATCACATACAAGTGTTCAAATACTGATGAAACCAGGTGTTCGGGAAAAGATGGGCGAACCATGCCCCACCGGTGGCACTCATCACAAACACATGCAAAGGTAAGTCAATTGTCACTGATTTGATTGTTTGTTTGTTGTTTAATGCTGCACTCAGCAATATTCCAGCTATATGACGGCGGTCTGTAAATAATCGAGTCTGGACCAGACAATCAATTGATTAATATAATGAGCATCGATCCACGCAATTGGGATCGCTGACATGCATCAACCATTTTGCGGCCAGACCATCAGATCTCGGCTGGTGTACAAACTGATATGTCTAAATATCTTGTTCGCAATGTTTCCAAATCCAACGATACAGCCAGCTTTGTTAACTTAAGATGACATTTGCTTTCTTTTATGGACAAATTGTCTTGCCAATATGTTCTTTCCCAAAATTTCACATAGTTACGAGGAAATGAAACATTTCGGATGTTTTTCTCAGTTAATTCCAGATTGCACTTGATTTCAATTTTTGAACATTATCCTGCACCTTTGAAGATAGAGATGTAACTATATCATCACGTTTAGGGAATAAAGCGACAAACCCCTTTCCCTATCAAATAGAAATATCTGCTTTAAGCAGAGTCGTGACGATTCCGCATGTGTTTATGAATTACTATCAAATGATACCAGGTGTTCGCGAAAAGACAAGCGTATACTACCCTATCCTATGGCATCCGTCACAAACACACGCAAAGGCACGTCAATTGTTCACATAACATATGGTACAAGTCAAATTAAAGAATTGAATCGGACATCATGTGGATGCGTCAAATTTGGAAATGTTCTCCACATGTCTACATAACATTTTCGAAAGCTTTACTGAGGCCTTGAATGTTGTAACCTTGATCAAACAACTTCTGAGCAAGAGTCGCATGACGCTTTTTGAAATCTTGGTAGACAGCGCATGCTCTATTGTATCTGAAAAACTGTGAGCTGGAGCTGCTGGAAAATTGCTGGAGATGAAGGGAAAGTTGAGTATTGGAAAGTTGAAGTCATCCCTCTTGTTATACAGTCATGTGGAGAGTGTTGTCACTTCATGCATAGATCATGAATAGATCTAAATACAAACGGATGAGGCGGTCCCAAATGCAGACATTCCCAAAGGATCAAGGAATGAATTTCTGGATTGTGGTTCAAAACCTTTTAAATAGAATTGAATTTTGTTCATTTATGAGACTGCCAAATTTTAAGCACATCATATTAATTCCAACCACTTGTCTCAAATACCTTCCGTGAATGTAAGAAAACTTCATTCCTTGGAAGTTTGTTTGATGTTTAAAGCCGTAATCAGTAATATTCCAGCCATGTGACGACGGTCTGTAAATAATCGAGTCTGGACCAGGCAATCCAATGATTGACATCATGAGCATCGATCCACGCAATTGGGATACGATGACATGCATCAACCACGTCTGCGAGCACGACCACCCGATACCGTTAGTTGCCTCTTACGACAAGCATGGTCGCCTTTTCCAGCAAGCATGGTGTTGCTGAAGACCTATTCTACCTCGGATTTTCACGGGTCTCCTTAGAAATATTAGGGGTTATGGTCTCCTTACAAACTGGAGACCGGATTAATATACTTTTTCAGCTACAGCTGCAAAACAAAATATGTAACAAAGATTATAACCATGACCCTAAAAAACAGATCGGTTGTAATCGGTTTATTTGAACATTTGTTCGATTGAAGTATTACGAGGTGAGGTGAAATTGGGTTTAACGTCGCGTCCAAGATTATTGCACTTATATAGCGACGTGCATGCACGTGTATGTGTGTGTGTGGCTGCTTGTACTAGTCCGGACTGATGCCGATTTATAGTGCTAGCTCACTGAGATACCATGCCGCAGTTTAACATGAATACCCCACTCAGACACAGTATACTGACTCCGAGCCGACCAGTCCTTGTTTTAGCCCCTTAATGCCGAGCGCCAGACAGGGTAACAACAAGTACAATCTTTTAACGTCTTTTTGTATGACGCGGCCCGGGATCGAACCCTGGACCTTCCGCTCTCCGGGCGGACGCTCTACCACAAGACCACGGAGGCGGTCCGAAGTATTACGAAGATAAAACGCCAATAAGACATTGAGAGCCCATTTCAATACATATTGTCATACAAAATGGACAAAACAACCGCAAGCTAATTATTGTAACACAACATACTTGGTAATATCATAATTCCGGTATATACCTGTAGGATATACAAACACATTTATGCTGAGTTTGTGCAAGATAATACCAACTTAAGAGTATCCCCAATCTAGTCTTCAATGCTTTTTGAAAACTTCAGACTATTTTTTTATTAGTTTTTGCCATGTTCTTCGCCAACGAAAGACATTTGAATTCTGAGAGACGCTCGAGGTGATAGCGAGAAATACCGTGTATTCGCTGGCGCCATCTTTCGCCTTCGGCACATAAATAGTTGACCAAACTGAAACCGAAATCTTCTAGCGCTGAGAGAATAGACATAAAAATTAATAGCATGTGTCACGTCACACAACACAAATGCCAGTGTATCTATAAGGTACTTTACAGCCCCTTTCATACTATTTTGCTCTGGGGTCCAATACGGAGTTAAAACAAGAATCACGCATCTCGGTGTTGTCAAAATCACCAAGGTGATAGCTGCTGTTACTAACATGATCGTAACCTGACGGTGGCGATCAGCACAGCGGTTACTCTTCTGGCTGCCATAGTTCTTCTGGCTGCCATAGTTACTGTTCAGGTATTTCTGTGCTTTCCCCGATTTAATAATACCGCCCACGATCAAACAGTTGAACACAAGAAGTAGGGTACATGGAATGACCGCATACACTATTACGTTAATCCAGTACCAAATGTGCATCATGAAATGTTGATACGTCTCTTCTACATCACAGTACACCATCCCTGGACCTTCAGTTACAAACTTTATCGTCCAGAAGAGGTGAAGAAACAACACACTCAAGGGTAGAGCCACAAGAACCACTGCTATAAGAGACTTTTTAAACGTCCAGCTTTGGCCAACTTTGAACGGGAACCACACAGCAGCGAATCTTTCTACGGACATGGCGACGAGCAACCAGTTGGCAAAGGTGATGAGGAAGTTTCCGAAGTACCCAAGAATCTTGCAGCCAACGTCTTGGAGATGTACTCCATTATCGAGCAAAACAAACAATAGAAGTTTATTGATGATTGCTAAGTTGTCCACAACAGCTAAAAGCGCTATGTATACAGTCAGCGATCTGGCAGGGGACATCTTAATGACTGTAACGATGGTAGCACAGTTACCGGGGAATCCCAAGGCGAATATAACCCAGAGATAGTACGTCTGGATGTCAAAGGCAACACTTTCCACTGCTTGCCAATCGGAATCGTCAATAACTTCAGTACTCCCATTGGTTAGGTTAGCCGCCATCTTGACTTCAAACATGAAATCAATTACTAGTATTCTATTGTGTTATTGGTTCACGCTGAATTATTTGTCAATACAGCAACTAGAGGAATTGGAAACCATCATTCTTCGGACTTTTGCCTTGATCCTTGGTGGCTCATTTCCGCTTCGTTTTCTGAAAGCAGAGCAGATATAAATATACTGTCAATGTTGAAATTTATGAGTGTGAAAAAAGTGATGAGAGTGCCGACTTTTGTTGATACTATTTCTTTGTGGTCATACAAACTTAGAAATAGATTGGAGGCATAATAGTTTAAGGTTGGGGATATGATCGAAAACTGAGTATGAAATACGCAGTGTCAAGTCCGGATCACAATAGGTCTCCAGCAACCCATGCTTGTATCACGGGATGTCAGGCTCGCTGACTTGGTTGATGCATGTCATGGTATCATTTGCGTTGATCGATGCTCATGATGGCAGCTATAGCGTTGTCTGGTCAGACTCAGGCTCTTTCCATTATCATAACAAACCTTCATTGTACGATTCTGATTGATCATAAGCATGGGTTTATAAATCACTATAAAATAGGGAGGACACCAGATACCCCCTGTCACAAACCAGTGCAAAGACAATTTAAGTGTTTACCTGAACAAACGTATCATCATATGATACAAGTCAAAATAGGGAATTGCAACGGACATCATTTTGGTCACTGATGCGTTCTTATCCATAGATCTAAATACAGCTGAGCCGGTTTCGCTGGTCTCTTTTGTTTCTAGTTCATGTGATTTAATCAGTGGAAGAGAATTGCCAATATGTTTCAGATTATCGAGACCCGTGAAGATTCTGAGGTAGAACAGGTCTTCAGCAACCCATGCTTGCCGTAAAAGGTGACTATACTCGTCGTAAAAGGCGACTAACGGGTGGTCAGGCTCGCTGACTTGGTTGATGCATGTCATCGATCCCAATTGCGTGGCTCGATGCTCATGATATTAATCAGTGGATTGTCTGGTCCAGACGCGATTATTTACAGACCGCCGTCATATAGCTGGAATACTGCTGCGTGCGGCGTTAAACAAACAGACAAACACACATCAATATAATGTTACAAATTCGAACATGACATGAATTATGTCCTCAACATGTTCTTTGTGCATGGATTGTTGATATGGTCTCAGCTTGCCATGGCAATTGCAGACTAAAATAATGTTCTAAGGCTTTACGGCTTCCGCAAAACCTGGTATTTCCACTTGACATGTGACATACATAAATTAGAAAGTTAAGTCACGACGGCAGAAATTCTGCTTTTTCATTACTATTTTTCAAAATAATAGTGTACGTTTACTTTCAACTAGAAAGGGTGGTTTTGCTAGTAGTGGTGGATGACATCTGGTTTTACATAACACTTAATTAAAAATTAGCACGTCTGTAATTCTGCTTTGGGGTTTGATTGATATTGATCATTACCCCCTTTGGGACAAAAGTTAAGCTTATGCTTACGTCAGTGGGGCTGTTGTCATTGGTAGATACACAGACTGAAAAGAGAGTTCTGTCCAGCCAGGTGTCAACTAATATCTGGCTGTCCGACATAATTATCTGAAGTTAAAATACTGGTTGAACGATTTTTGAAATGCTAGACTTCCTCGTAGAAACAAAATGTGTGAATCTTTGGGGATAGGACTTTGAGGCAGACATTGGCATCCCCAGAAGCACCAATTCTGCTCATCGTCTTGATGGTCAGTTTTTCTATGGATACGAGTCTGCTCAAATTGGTAAAATTAAAAAAAAGTAATTTGGCCAAGACGTTTAACTTCAGCTTCAGGTATGTCATTGTTGCTGGGGACCATGACCTGTGAAGATCCGGGGTAGTTTCGGTCTTCAGCAACACATGCTTGCCGTAAATGTCGACTATGCTTGTCGTAAGAGGCGACTAACGCGATCGGATGGTCAGGCTCGCTGAATTGGTTGATGCACGTCATCGTATCCCAATTGCTTGGATCGACGCTTATGATATCAATGACTGTATTGTCTGGTCCAGACTAAATTATTTTCAGACTGCCGTCATATAGTTGGATAATTGCTGAGCGCAGCGTTGAACAACACACACACAAACAAACAAAAGTTTATTTAGGAAAAGATCGGTTACGAATGGCCCGGTGGTCTGAGGCTCCGTAAATCGCTCTGAATACACCAGCACTATGGACATAAAGACCCGAAACGTGCACACAAACTCTCCTATGCCCATATCAACTCAATACGGTGTGTTGTTCGCATCAAATGGCGGACGGATAGGACGCACGGCCGAGAGCTCCGACCCGATTCTCAAACTTAAACAGCTATGCTTTAATATTGCACTGAAACTTCACTGCGGACCGACTGTGACTAATCCTTGATGTCCACTCGGTGTCTCAGATAGCCTACTACTCAGCACAGTCAACAACGAGAATCATTCCACAATTATACTAAGGACTTACTGTCACTACTTCAATTATACTAAGGACTGACTGTCACTTCTTCACTATGCATTCCAACATGGCGTCGCAAACTCAGTCAACTCAGTCAACCAAGAGGGGAACAGACAGCCCTGCTGGACTCGAGCCGCCAGCTCAAAGACCAAGAAATATCTTCTCAAGTGAGGGTGAGTCTTTTACGGAGGACGAAGCGTCCGATGCCCTGACTCAGGCTAAATCAGACGAAACTTTCCTGAACAAACTGATACCCATCATTGTTCCTAAACTAATGTCAGAAATCCTTAAAAGGATGGAGGAATCGAATCAGTCGAACGAGCTGTAAGATCAGCCACATCCGCCCTCCTTGATGATTCTGTAAACACAAATGACCTGACAATAGACCTTTATCATTCTCCCTATAGGAGGGATAGGAATTGTTTTGGTGGTGGTATTATTGTATATTTTCGGCATTGTTGTACGTTAAACGTAGGGAAGATTTAGAATCATACAATTATGAAAACATGTGTTTCGAGGTTTTCTTGCCTCAGAAGAGAATATTATTATGTGCGTGGTATAGACCACCTAACACCCATGTGTTGTATTGGGATCAACTAGAAACTGCTCTAAATTATACGACTTATGTTGTTCTACTCGGTATTTGAACGAAGATTTACTCAACAGCAACCTTCACCATCTGCACGATATTTTAGTTAGGAAGAGTTTACGTAATGTAATTAAAGAGCCGACACGCTTCACTCAGCATTCACAAACGCTGCTTGGCCAATCATCAGTGACTATTGTAATTGTATAGAGTCAGGTGTTGTCGACTTCAGCACGGATATAAGTGACCACAAGGGAGTTGTTGTTTCGCTAACGAACTGCATTGACATGGAAAAATCCTATGTAAGAGAGGTTCTTATTTATAAAGATGGTGACTATGCGAAGTTAAATGAATTGATTGAATCAACTGATTGGATGTGCATGTTTAATAGCTGCGAGTCTATTGATGAAATATGTGATATTTTTCTGTCCACATTTAAAAACTATATAAGCTTATGCATACCAAGCCGTGCTGTTACAATAATGCCAAAAGATAAACCATGGTTTACGTAGAGAAATAAGAATAAGAGATCGACTGAGAAAAAAAGCAAGACGAACATGCAATGAACGCGATTTATCTAAATATAGAAAACAAAGGAATAAATTAAACAATTTGAAGAAAGCTGCCAAGGAATACTTTTATGTTAACTTAGATGAATTATTATCTACACAAATCAAGGAAAACAGTTCTAATAATTGGAAACTTCTACGTCACTGGATCAAAGAGTCTGAAGCCAGCACCGTGATCCCACCTCTGGTCACTAATAACAACACTGTACCTGAAGCATTTTCTTATTTTGATAAGGCTAAAGCTCTCAACAATTTTACGTCAGTTTCCAATGTCGATGATCACGGCGCCTCTCTACCACCATTTGTTAAACTATATGATCATGAATTGGATTTTACCCTTATTGAAAGTCAAGAAAGAACAGATAAAGTCCCTCCCGGTAAATAAAGCAAGCGGTCCCGAGAACCTGAATCAAAGATTAAAAATATATATATCACTATCCATAGCCAATCCTTTACGCTTGTTATTTAATTTGTCTCTTGAACAAAGCACATTCCCATCAGAGTGAAAACTAGCTAATGTAATGCCTTTGTACAAAAAGGGAGATAAAGCCAACCCTTCAAACTACAGGCCTATCTTGTCTTGGGAAATTATTTGAAAGACTTATTTTTAAAAGAATGAATAATTACTTTCTGGAGAATAAACTACTTTCCAAATATCAATCGGGATTCATGCCAAACAATTGTACTACATATCAATTAATTGAAATTTGCCATCACATTTGTAATTCGCTTGATGATAATAAATATTTTTGTATGATATTCTGTGATATTTCAAAGGCATTCGACAGGGTATGGCACAAAGGTATATTGCATAATCTTCAACAATATGGTATAACTGGTAAATTATTTGCTTGGTGTCGTAGTTATCTGTCAAAAAGTTGCCAAAAAGTATTTATTAATGGTAGTTAATCAAGTAAAATATTCACTAAAGCAGGGGTCCCACAGGGCTCTGTACTGGGGCCGTTCCTATTTCTAGTTTACATAGGTGATATTACTTATCAGCTTCAAAATATTACTAGGTTATTCGCCGACGATACCTGTATAGGAACTTCATCTACTGATATGGTCGTAATTGAAGACAGTCTACACCAAGACCTTCTCTCTCTCCAAGAGGGCAAGCACATGGCTTGTAAACTTTAATCCAACTAAGACAAAATACATGCTTTTTAGTCACAAACAGGTACAGGATTATCCAACTTTTTGCTATGCTAACAGTGCCATTGCACATGTAGAAACCCATAAACATCTGGGGGTCACGTTATATCAAGATACGAAATGGACTGCACATGTTTCAATTATTGCTAGGTCAACAGCGAACATGGTTTCAGCTATGCGTAAACTTAAATATGAATTAAATAGATATAATCTGTCAAAAATCTATGTGACATTTATGAGACCTATTCTGGAATACTCATCGGAAGTATGGGACAACTGTTCTGCTTATAACGAAAATAAACTTGAATTAATACAACTTGACGCTGCCAGAATTGTGACAGGTTTGACGAAATTTGCCTCGAGAGAAAGTTTATATTTCGAAACCGGCTGGCTACCACTAAAAGAGAGACGAAAAATTTAAAAAAACTTACGACATTGCACACAAAAATAATAAATGACTGTCCCTCATATCTAAATGATTTGTTACCTCACAATAGATCAGCTGCTTCAAATTATTACCTACGTAACACACAGAACATGACTGTACCATAATTGTATCTCTGTAGCTGAATTAAAAACAAAAAATTATCCAAATGTTATTAATTCTCCATATTATTTCAGTTATGGAAAGCGTCAAATTAATATTTGACATAGACATAGATGTAGCAATCTAAATGATGATTTATTTAGGGTTAATTTGTCAGACACTATTTCTTGCCCTTGCGGTTCTCCATGCGAAGGGGCGGTCGGGTAGCCCAGTGGTTAAAGCTTTCGCTCGTCACGCCGAAGACTCGGGTTCGATTCCCGACATGAGTACCATGTGTGAAGCCCATTTCTGGTGTCCCCCGCGTGGATATGGCTGGAATATTGCTAAAAGCGGCGTAAAGCCATACTCACGCACTCACTCACTCTCCATGCGAAAATGCTTTTCACTATTTCCTTGAATGTTAAAAAAATATTCTTTAATAAGACACTCTTTGTTTATCAACATTAGGAATATAGGGACTCAGCCAAATTTAGAAACAATTCTTAGTAGTTACAAAAATCTATCCGAAGAATAAAATAACTTAATTTTTAAATATGTCCATCAATTTATTTTAGAAACAAACATATTTTAGAACAGATTTTAAATTGTATCCTAATATAACAAGAATTATAACAAGAATTATAACAAGAATTATATTTCACGAGCTACTTTCAAATTATCTTGACTTTACATGTGACTTGCACTTATTGTTTCAACACAAAAAGTCTTAGTAATATTTTTATATTTTATTTTTAATTTTTATTTTTTCTATTAGTTTGGGTATTCGTTATAACTTTGATTTTGATGTCAAACAATAGCATTCCATGTAATTATCACAACTTAGTAACATTCTATATTTCCCGCCCTTCACATAAACCTAAAATGTCTATTAGTTTATTAACTACTGTGTTATTTTATAAATATATCATGTACCATTGTATATCAAAAATATATAAATTTGTCATCTGTATATATGTATATGTATGTGTGAGTGTATGTAGGTATATGTGTTTGTGTGTAATACTGTATATATATGAATATGTGAGTGTGTTATTATATTTTCTCATGACTTGTAATTCCTATGCACTGTACATTTATTCTGCACTATCATTATTCACATACATGTACCACAATGTATATAGGAGAAGGCCTCGTCGGTGTGTCACTTGTGCCTAATCTTTTTGATTTTCCGCAATAAAATATGTTTAAATAAATTGTTCGCATACGCATTTCTGTTATTACTGAACAAGGAAATCACCATTTTGCCAAAATGCTGCAATTACATGCTTGTATTGATACACACAAATACAAGTTTTATTCATGATCTTTGTGTTAGTAATGAGTTTACGAATAATGTATACATAATTTACTTAAGTTTGATATTAATAGTGGAGATGGATCCGGAAGGTGCGGTTTGCAATCATTCTATTATAAACGTGTCACTATCATCGGGTTGTGTTCCAGACATCATCATCTTCTGCAGAGTGTGTATACAGTTTAATAGTTTAGGTTTTCTGGACACATACCACACAACGAGACATTAAGAGTTTTGGAAACATGTTGTGGAGTCATCCAGATGGCAGTCTAACCTGGACACTATGAGACCGCCTCCGTGATCTAGTGGTAGAGCGTCCGCCCGGCGAGCGAAAGGTCCTGGGTGAGATCCCCGCCCGCGTCATACAAAAGGACGTTTAAAGATGGTACTTGTTGTTACCCTGTCTGGCGCTTGGCATAAAGGGACTAAAACACGGACTGGTCACCTCATAGTCAGTATAATGTGTCCGAGTGGGGCATTCATGTTAAGCTGTGGCATGGTATCTCAGTGGGCTAGCTCTAAATCGGCATCACTCCGGACTAGTACAAGCAGCCACATACACACGTGCAAGCACGTCCCTATATAAGTGCAATAATCTTGACATTGCAGAAACAACTGTAGTTTGAAATATCATTACATGCATCGCATAAATCAATTTGAGACTCAGTACTAGACCCAAGCTTCTCTACTTTGTGTTGCATTGTACCAGTTGATGCAACTGCCTTTTGAATAATTGTTGGTAGTTTGTTGTTTAACGCCGCACTCAGCAACATTCCAGCTATATGACGACGGTCTGTAAATAATCGAGTATGGACCAGACAATCCAGTGATTAATATCATGAGCATCGATCCACGCATTTGGGATCGATGATATGCATCAACCAAGTCAGCGAGCCTTACCACCCGATCCCGTTAGTCGCCTTCACGACTAGCAAAGTCGCCTTTCACTCCAAGCATGGGTTGAGGAAGACCTATTCTACCCCGGAACCTTTTGCATAATAACGACATTGGTCATAACATAATAAATCATCACATGTAAATCGGCAGTACGAGAGTATATAATAAAACTACGTGTGCTGTGAAAAACGTTTATAATATAACACGGGAACAACGGAAAATATTGGGAATTAAGCTTTACTGACAGTACATTTGAAATAGCGAACATACAAATTCAACACATGTCAGAATCTATTGTTGAGATATGTTTCAGTGCATTGTTTCCAACGCGTATGAGGAAGACAAGGCTGGGATCCCATGATAGCATATCATTTTATTATTTCTACAACTAAGTGTTCCCTAATTCATTTCAATCAGCATATATTCAATATCATATATTATAAACGGTGCATTTCGTTTCTTGCAAAAGTATAAGCGATGAAAAATTTTCAAGGAAAGGGTACTAATTATAACATTATCAAACAGTACTCAATTTCGAATTCGGTCAGTTCACATACATAAAATGTACATGACAATAAGAAAAGATGACACCGTTCCCTTAACTAATGTTTGGTTGCTGGTGATCTATAGCCCGTTTTTATAATCATGTATTGTTGAATCATAGGTTAATGTTTTAATTGTTCACGCAACTGGTTTTACTTCTAAATTGTGATAGTCTAGTTATTTATACTGCCCGTCGATAACAGGTTTTTATTCGTCTAAATTTATTAACTATTAATGTTCTCGTCACTATATGGCTGAAATATTGCCGATTTGACGTTAAATTTTAACTCACTCACTCACTCACCCTTTACTAATGGGATATAAGACAATTACTCTTCTACATGAAGCATAATTGTAAAGAGAAATTCTTATAAAGGCTTACTTACCCCATAAGAAAACCTACAACTTTATAGATACTAACATTTGGTTTATTGCATGTCGCGACGTTTCGATGTAGATTCGTACGCCGTTGCCGAATCTTCATCGAAACGTCAATAAACCGTAACTTGTTATTCATAACGTAGGACGTATTCTTATGTACTCACCAACTCCTAGAATGCCAAGCAAACACCTGCTTACCCTCATAGGCCAATCTCCAAAGCAATGAATTAGTCCAACCATTAAACTACATCTTAACAATGGTACAACATCGCTCTTGAAGGCTCTGTCACAACTGCCGCAACGCGATGCAGCCGTTGGCTTATATGGTCTGAGCTATACCTACTTTATCAATGAAACCGCATCTCTCTACGCTCTCTGTATGAGAGTCAGTCGGCGTGTCTCCCATGTCACGATTGGCGAGACGAGTTGTGTGATATTTTTTTGAAATGACATCCTCGTATACATAAATCATCAGCTCGCGACGTTGCTGTACAAAGACAGTTTTGGCTGCAGGCGACGGGAAAACGCGTGCAGTCTTAAGCAAAACATGATACCTGATTTTCATTTTATTTATACGAACATTTACACGAGGTACACGTGCAATAGACCTATTTTATTATGTGTTCGTGTGAAAATTTATATCAATTTGGTTTCTGAGGAATATTTTGATCTTGAGAGAGCTTTATTGAACGCCGCTTTCTAAAACATTGTGGGTGAGAAAAGTTTTGTTTGTTTGTTTTTTTAACGCCGCACTCAACATTATTCCAGCTGTATGACGGCGATCTGTAACTAATCGAGTCTGGACAAGCCAATCCAGTGGTTGACATCATGAGCATCAATCCACGCAATTGGGATACAATGACATACATCTGCGAGCCTGACCACCCAATCTAGTTAGTCGTCTCTTACGCCAGCAATATTCCAGCTATATGACGGCGGTCTGTAAATAATCGAGTCTACACCAGACAATCCAGTTATTGACCTCATGAGCATCAATCAACGCAAATTGGCTCAATGACATGCATCAACCAAGTCAGCGGGCCTGACTACCCGATCCCGTTAGTGGCCTAGCTTATGACAAGCATAGTCGCCTTTTACGTCAAGCATGGATTGCCGAAGACATATTCTACCTCGGATCTTCACGGGTTTACCACTTTGGCGAAACGCAGCGCGAATCTGAGATTCGAACACACGATAATAGGTTTCTCGCACGCCTAATGGATAGAACTCTGCATAGTGTATTGATGAGCTCACTCTTCGTCCTGAACATTTACGATGCTGCCAGATAATATCGGCAATTATACATGTATTACATCTACTCACTCTTGAAAATCGTCATATTTCCTCTATGTGTGTGTGTGCATACATACGAGCGTATCTAATGAGTGTGTATTGCAGACATTACTTCTACTGTAAAAAACTAAACTTGTTTTCTCTTAATTCAACTATCCTGACAGGAAACGTGTCACCAGAACTAATGTAGCCGCATCTGCGACAGATGTTGGTGTTCTTTAGTTGATATTCATAAACGCCATAGAATAATAACGCACATATCTAAAGTATTGTATAGCCGTCACATGCGCACTTAGCGTTACTATCCAGTTACGAGTTAAACAGGGCATCGAAATTGCAAACTCGTGGTCAGTAGAAATATGATAATATGATAATATGACTGTTTCTTGTTTATCGCCGCACTTCGAATCTGTGACAGACAATCGAGTGATTTACACCAGGAGAATTGTTCTTCGGACTTGGGATTCGATGACATGACCATTTCTTAACCAGGGTCTTCATGGGGGAGGAAAACATGAGTTGCTGAAGACCAATTCTTACACAGATATTCACGGGTTATATGTATGTAGCATCTAATACGGACAATGTTTCCTAGCGTAAATGATTGCAGGGGGCACGGGTGGCCCAGTCGTCTAAGGCGCCGCGATTCGCTGTGCAGAGTTGCGTCCCTTGGGCACGCCAGAAACCTATGATTGTGGGTTCGAATCCCGGTTCGCCCCGATTATGTTTCTAGGTTTGTCAGCACCATACCCGTGCTCGTGGGTTTCACCGAAGTGGTAAACGTCTGAGACCTGCATCACTTCGGGCTTTCCTCCCACATTAAGCTGACACGCCGTGATATAACTTGAATAGTGTTAAAAGCGGCGTTAAACCCAACTCACTCACTCACTATATGATTGCAAGTATTGATGATAATACAATGCCGATATAGTACAATGTGGACACGTACTACTGACTACTGTGAAAATCCTGCTATTTGGTAAATATTTTATTAATAAGGACATTTAATGAATACTGGATATTCATCAGTGCTTGAAGATATAGGACCGCAGTCTGCCTATGATGCATACCACCGATCCGTTAACAATGGATGCGGAGAGTGGAAACTCAATCGGCGTTATTTATTCAGGAAAAAATACATTTGATGTATGCAACAGGTTTGGGATGCGGACGTGTTATGCATAACATTTGGTTATAAATGTGATACGTGCATCAAGCAGGAAAACACAAAGATTTAATCTAGAATTATGTGTTTGTTTGTCTGTTGTTTAACGCCGCACTCAGCAATATCCCAGGTATATGACGGCGGTCTGTAGATGATCGAGTCTGGACTAGACAATCCGGTGATTGATATCATAAGCAACGGATCCATGCAATTTGGATAGATGACCTGCATCAACCAAGTCAGCGAACCTGACCACCCAATCCCGTTAATCGCTTCTTACGACAAGCATAGTCGCCTTTTACAGCAAGCATAGGTTGCTGAAGACCTATTCTAACCCGGATCTTTACGGGTCTGAAATATAGAAATGTAACTTTGTAGGTTGACCACATCCGTATATTCTAACCTCTTATGTCTTTTATCATAAAGATCTAACAACAGCTTGAAATATCTATATGAATAGTTTGTGGAAATTGTGGAATGGTTGACATCAGCGCCATACAATAACCAGTCTCGAATATCGGCAAAAACAGATTTCATAAGCGTGTCAAGGCAGAACAGTGTTGGGAATTATAGGAATAGCTAACTGAAACTCAATGAGAACAATGTCGGAATGCTACCCGACACATAATAGTAAAGATAATCGTGATAGAGTATTGTTTTACGCCGCTTTTAACAATATTCCAGCAATATCACGGCTGGGGGACACCAGAAATGTGTTTTTGTTTGTTGTTTAAGGCCGCTCTCACCATGTTCCGGCTATATGAAGGTGGTCGGAAATAATCATGTCTGGACCAGACAATCCAGTGATGGACATCATGAGCATCGATCCACGCAATAGGGATACGATGACATGCATCAACCAAGTCTGCGAGCCTGACCATCCGATCCATTTAGTCGTCTCTTACGACAAGCATAGTCGCTTTTTACGGTTGCTGAAGACCTAATTGTATCCCGGATCTTCGCGGGTTTCGAGGATCAGATCAACATGTCCCATGTATTTATGTATTCGAGTATTAAAACACAATCTGGAATCACTTCCCGTTTTGTCCACACCCTCCTTCATCTGCTCCTACGTTTGATATCCTTTTATTTAGGTCCAACTGACTGCCTCTGTGGTCTAGTGGTAGTGCGTCTGCCCGGAAAGAGGCTGGTCCGGGGTTCCATCCCCGGCCGTGTCATACCAAAAGAGGTTAAAAGATGGTATTTGGAGTAACCCTGTCTGCCGCTCGGCAGTAAGGGGCTAAAAAGGAACTGATCGGCTCGGAGTCAGTATACTGTGTCTGGGTGGAGTACTCATGTTATAGGAATATATATCAGCATAAGTCCGGACAAGTACAAGCAGCCACACTAACACTCACACACACACACACGTGCATGCCCGTCGCTATATAAATGCAACGGTCAAGGATCTCTCCAAGTATTGGAAGTACTTGTAGCCTAGTTTCCGAATCAATGAAAACGTTGTGGTCGCGCCCGTGCCTAACCACGACTGCCTGTGCTGTGTCACGCATTATTGACAAAAAGTAGTACAAATTAAAGGGGCATTGATCTAAAGCAATTCCCCGGGACTGGTTGTTGACTTTGTTATTGTTTTTTCCACGTGAATATCCGGATGATACTCAAAGCAACTGAGCTTGACAAGAGACTAGGCTACTGTCTGCAAGGACAGCAAAATAAACTTGGGACAATATTTGTTTTACCCATTTTTGAACACTGATTGGTAAACCGTGATCTATAAAGATTTCGACAAAGGGCGCATGTTAATTAATTTCTTCAGCCTAAACAAACAGACAAAAAGAACGGCGGAGCTCATCGGTTGTCGTCATTTGGAAATACCCCTGATTGTTATAGTTTTTAAAAAAGTATCCATGCAGTGAAAGCATTTTCGGATTTCGGATTGCGTCGATAATACGATTACTACTCCCTTGTTGTCATCCACGTTTTCTGGTATAACCCTCCACTTGTATATTTGTCGTCATTCACTTGATGCTCAGTTAATGAATTTATTACAGGTATAGTTAGTGGTAGCACCACTCCGAATACCTGACGAAGGTTCCCATTTGGCATTTATTGTGTCTGGGGTAATTATTCAATCTAAATCCAGGTTTGAAGTGAGGTGAAATGTGTGTTATGTAATATGCACGTGGCAGCCCAGCAAGAGATGAATGATCAGTTGATTTACTTTTTTTGTAAATCAGCGGATCGTTCGTAGTCATCAAAGGATTAACTGAAAATACATTGATTGATTAATCACTGTTATGTCAAAAGTGGATATGTCAAAAGTGAGTGTTTACATGTCTAGGTTTACTAAAACAAAGGGAATACACACATATCCTTGCGTGAAGTGCCGATGTGAAAACAACATACCTTGTTCAAAGGGTTAATCGATAATACGATGATTAATTGCTCATTGTTATCTAACTCATTGTATTTTTTTAGGAACCGTGGACGTTATGAAAATAGTTGTCACGTGGGCTTTCTCAGCGGACCTTTGAGACTTGACACCTATGTGAAACACCTGAAACAATCTAAGTGATCAGCTGAGAAACGAACACGGGTTATAATATCCCGAAACGATATATATATATTTTAAAATATTTGATTGTTACAGAGACACGTGACATCGAATACGTTTCCTTGTACAGCTGCAGACGTTTGGGATATTGTTCCTTTGTGTGGATATTCACGTATACATTCCTCGAACAAGGAAGCTGCCTAAAATTATACTCATAAATTTGATATTCGCATTTTGTTTTCCTTCATTTGCAGTAGCATTGGACAGATTCATTCTTGTTCCTCTACGTCTTGGTTGGGAAATTCTTCG